CACTTTGACGTGTTGTGCATATACATTAAATGAATGCCACGTGACGAGCAAATAGAACTGGACATCTATAAACGGTTTCATGAAGATAGAAATTAAAAATATATATATATATATATACAAGTACAAAAAATTAAATTAATTATACGCCATATATATTCTAAAAATTCTTAAGCTTTCAAATAAAAAATATCTCAGAGTAACACGCTTAGGCAAATTTATTTATTATTATTTTTTTCTCATCCTTTTGATTATAAATTGGCACAGGCAAGAAGAAGGCCGTTAAGAAAAATCATCAAAGGCCCATTAGACTAGTGAGGCCCACAAAATCGTTAAGAAAAACATCAAAGGCCCATTTAGCCAGTGAGGCCCAAAAGCCCAATGCCCCTGCTGATTTAAAAAATATATTTTTATTTGTTATTACTTCATGTCGAATAAAAATAAAAAAGAGACCATTGGATTTTTTGTACCTAGCTTAATTTTTTAAAAAATGTATTGTACAAAAAATTGAAATTCATTCCAACAAAAATTGAGACCATTCTCACGTGAGCATGTAGGGGTCACGATCACTTAAGAGTCGACATTAAACGTTAGTGAAAATTACATAACAATTTTTTAGAATTTTAGATATAATAATAGCAATCTCAATAAATTGATATATGTATATATTAAAACCATATAATATAATGTATTAATATTAAAATAATAATTAATATAGATAAGTTACCTGAACAGCTCTCACAGACAGTAAGATATGAAGCTTGGAATGACCCACAAGATTTCAACCTTTCCCCTTCTTTTAGATTAACGAAGCAAGGATTAGAGTTTCTATTTAAGCAGTCTTGTAACTTATGAGCGAGCAAATCTACTTTATATACAAAATACATCATTGAGTCTCTACTTAAACAGAGATTTTATTGTCTTGATTAAGTTAAGACAGTGTTTGTGATAGGAACAACAAACCGAATATTTACATTGATACATTTATGTTTTTGTTTATTGTTTCTTAAGAGGCTGAATGTCAATGGAAATAGTGTGTGTCTATATACTCATGACGTTCTCTTCCATTAATCAACGAGACTCCAACCCTCCTCAACCATAGGATAAAAATATCAAATTAATCACCCATTATTTATATTTTATGTTAAATGTAAATATAATGTTATTTTTAAATGTAAATATAATGTTATTTTAAATGTAAATATAATGTTATTTGAACTCTAAAGATCGAGAAAATATATAAAAAAAATATCAAACCCGTTCAATTATTTCTATTTGTTTAGTAAATATTTAGTTTTTAAAATTTGTGTTTGCTCGTTTTACTGTTTATTTTTATAGAAAAGTAATTGAATTTTTAGACAAATTTAGAAAATAAAACTTTAAAAACATTTTAAAATTAAATCTATCAATGTTAAAATTTATTAGACAATTTAAAAATTTAATGACTATTAGGCTAAATAATATCCATTTTTTAAACTAAAATATTAAATATTTACATGTCTCAATTAAATTTTTATAATAATTTTAAAAATATGTTAGGGACTTGAATTTTAAACCCTATTTTTTTATGACGAAAAAAATTTCAATTAATTTGTAACAACCTTAAATTTCTATTTACTAAGATGAATTATTAACTCTTATGCTCTACTAGAATGTTGAATATAACTCTTAAAAAAAAGCTTATCTGTAATATAATTGTCGAAAATATTTAAAACATTTACTATCTCATACAAAATATTAAAATCTAGAGAAAATAAAAACAAATACAAAATAATTTATATCTATCAAATGCAAACACAAAGTATTCTAACCCATACTAGAAATTTAAATACGAATTACTCCATGTAATGTCCCACATTGGTTGGGGAGGAGCACAAACCACCGTTTACCAAGGGTATGGAAACCTTCCACCGAGCAGATGTATTTTAAAGTCTTAAGGAGAAGCCCGAAAGGAAAGTCCAAAGAGGGCAATATTTGCTAGCGGTGGATCAACGTCGTTACATTGCACGTGTCATCTGCTTGCGATGGCGTCATCATCCGTACATGGACGTCTTGTTTTTACCTAAAAAATGATGTGGCACACAACTTGAGTATTTCAAATAATACTCCGTAAATAGGGATTATTCTCAATGCAATCACATGCAAATACACTCTGGAGAAGTACAACGAATGGTGTAATACTTCTCTACCTACGACACACGTACCGGAGTGAAAATGGGTGGTTTCGTTTTGATGGTTTTGATTTCGAGAGAAACAGGAGAATGACGAGAAGGGGAGGATGGAAGTAACTGCGAGTGAAACAGTTTTTGTTTCTTTTCTCTTTTTTCCTTTTTTTGTTATTTTCAATGATTTTGTTTCTTTCTCTTTTTTTCTTTTTCCGTTTTCCTTTTTTTCCGTTTGGAGAGAGAGGTGCATGGGGAACGTGATGCATGCGTGCTCGCGCTGTCCGTTTAACACGTCGGAATCGGAAGCAAGTAAACTGCTCCAAACAGTACCCGGTTGCCTTTCCTGATAATGCCAATATGGATACTGAGCATCCCGGTTTCCGGTTAGCAGCCTCTAGGGTAATATTTACTACAATCAACTAGAATTACCGCGTCAAATTAGGATTAAAATAAACACGGTAATTTTATTTTTGAAAAGAAAAGAAAAGAAAAAAAATTTGATTTTGAAGCTAATTTAATTATAAAACTAGAATCTAATTTAGTTAAATAATAAATAAAACATGATTATTGGCCGATCATTAGCCGTTATTTATATCGATTGCGGCCGTTATTTAGGATAGATCACATACGTGATTCGTGATTTCACTTTTAACGTGTTGTGCAAATAAGTTAAACGGATATTACGTGAAAACCGAATAGAACTGTACGTCAATAAATGGTTTCACGAAGACAAAAATAAAAGAAAAATAATATATATAATAAGTACAAAAAAAAATTAAATTAACGAACGTCATTATATACTAAAAATTCTTAGCTTTAAGATAAAAATACTTCAGTGTAACACGTTTAGCATTTATTTGTTTCTCATCCTTTTGGTTATAAATTGGCACAGGCAAGAAGACCGTTAAGAAAAATCATTAAAGGCCCATTGAACTAGTGAGGCCCAAAAAACGGTTAAGAAAAATAATCTAAGGCCCATTAAGCTAGTGAGGCCCAAAACGGTTAAGAACAGTCATCTAAGGCCCATTAAACTAGTGAGGCCCAAAACGGTTAAGAAAAGTCATATAAGGCCCACTGAACTAGTGAGGCCTAAGAAACGGTTAAGAAAAGTCATCTAAGGCCCATTGAACTAGTGAGGCCCAAAAAACGATTAAGAAAAATAATTTAAGGCCCATTGAACTAGTGAGGCCCAAAAACGGTTAAGAAGTCATCTAAGGCCCATTGAACTAGCGAGGCCCAAAAAACGGTTAAGAAAAATCATTATGGCCCATTGAACTAGTGAGGCCCAAACAACGGTTAAGAAAAGTCATCTAAGGCCCATTGAACTAGTGAGGCTCAGAAGCCCGTTAAGAAAAATCATCAAAGGCCCATTGAACTAGTGAGGCCCATAAAACGGTTAAGAAAAGGCATCTAAGGCCCATTGAACTAGTGAGGCCCAAAACGACATTGAACGTGGTGAAAAATTACATAATAATTATCAACACATGCCGTTGCTATCTATGAATTTAAATTGATATATATCTAATAATGTATTAATATTAAAATAATAACAAACATAGATAAGTTACATTATCAGCTTTCACCGACGGTAAGATATGGAAACTTAAAATGACCAACAAAATTTCAATCTTTCTTTTTAGATTAACGAGGCAGAAGTTAGAGTTTCAATTTAAACAGTCTCGTAACTTGTGAGATAACAAGTCTCCTCTATACATAAAATACATCATTGAGTCTCTCCTTAAATAGAGATTCTATTGACACGGTTAAGTTAAGATAATGCTTGTAATAGGAACAACAAATCGAATATTTACATTCATATATTTATGTTTTTATTTATTGTTTTCTCAAAAGGCTAAATGTCAATGAAAATAGTGTTCGTTACTCATATACTCATGACATTCTCTTCAGTTAATCAACGCGAGACTCTAACAATCCTCAACCGCTATCAATGGATAAAAATATCAAATTAATCACCTATTATTAATATTTTTCTTCAATGTAAATATAATTTTATTTGAACTATAAAAGATAGAAAAAATATATATAAAAAATATCAAACCATTCAATTATTTCTACTTTCAAAGAAAAAGTAATTGAACTTTTGGATGAATTTAGAAAATAAAAAGAAGTTCTAAAAATTTTTTAATCTTAACTTATATTTTAAAATACTCACAAAATTTTGAGGGTTTACAATAAATACGAAATACGAAAGTTTAGGAATCTATAGACATTTTTTAAACTAAAATATCAAAAGTTTACAAGCCCCAGTTCATCTTGTTACTAACGTTAAATATTCTTCATTTTATAATAATTTAAAAAATATGTAAGGTAGGTAGGATAGACATGAATTTTAAATCCTAATTTTTAAATTTTCGACCCAAAAAAATTCAACAAGTAAATCAAATCAAATTTGATTTTCTAAAAATTTAACTAAACCCAACTCAACTCGAGTTAGATAGTTTGAATTATCCTAATTTTCGAGTTATATAAATCCTTTAAAAATAAATTGAGATAGATCGAAATTAGAGTGTTATATCTGAATGTTGTTTACTTCAAGGGGTATGATTTTTTTTTATCTCCCATGTAAAATTAAATTATTAAAATTTTCTTAATTTGGTTGTTAAATAAATGACTGCGATATTTATTTTTAATTTTTTTGAACTTAGGGATATTCGAAAAAGTGAATAAGAATAAGTTAAAATATGAAAATGATGTCCTGGTTCATCGGAAGTCGGCATTTAAATTTTGGTTCTCGTACCTTGCTACTGTAGCATGTATGGGGAGTGATATTAATGGCGTGGGTGAGGGTAATTAATGTTGGATATGTCAGGATATTGTAAAAGAAGGGATAAGGAAAAATAATAGTGGCAGACTGCGAAAATTAGGGAGAAATGGAGGGAGAGGATCGGAATCCAGAAATTTAGGAACAGAACAGTAAGTTGATTTCCATGGGCGAAGGCGGGGTCGCATCCCGTGTACTCCCTCTCACTCTGCCGGCCAAACCATCGTTTCTTCTTCATCTCATTTCCATTTCTCCGTCACTGCTACTCTCTCGCCGGTTTCTCCATTTCGACAGTGTCAGTAGCAGCAACTTCCTCTCCTGATCGTCATCACCCGCTTCGTCTTTTTCATCGTTTTTCTCTGGGTACCTCTCAAACTACTTGATTTCTTATTTTTTTTCATCTGGGTTTGCGTTTGTTTTCGAGTTTTAGGTCTTGAATCTGATTTGAAGTTGAATTATGTACTGTAATGATTGCGCTTCTTAATGGGTTCATGGGCTAGATCTTGTCCCCTTTTGCTGGCTTGCTCTTTTGAATGTGGTTTCTGGATTTATTGGCTTTTGGGGTTCTGGATCTTCTTTGTTTTTAGTTCTACTTGATGAGTTGCTGATTTTCTATATGGTTTGTTCTTCTCCTAAGGCGATTGCTGCGATTATATTTGTTTGTATCTGTATGGATTTGAATGAATGAGATGCGATGGGGATTGTTGTGAGTGTAATTCCTGAGAGAGATTTTGTGGGCAAGGAGTGATATCTTCTGGGTGTGAGCCGGGTGACACAATCGCACTTTCGAAGGCAGCGGACTAGCGATTGTGCGGCACTCACTTTCCAGCGACAAGTGAGTTAAGCCGATTTGTTCTTGCGTCGCCTACGGCCAAGCGACGTACGGTCGAGCCTCTAGCCTCGGTTATAAAAGAAGGTTTTAGAAAACGAGGAGAGAGAGAGATTTTAGAAAGAGAGATTTTAGAAAAAGATGTTATATAAGCAAGCAAGAGAAAGATAACAACGGCTTAGCATATATAACCTTGGGTAGGGAGAAGTTGACGACTAGTCATATCCCCTATAGTACATTCTGGGCCATTTTAGTTTTGGCAGGCCTAGACATGATATTTTTGAGGTGTCGTACGCTCTAGAATTACAAAAGGAAAAACACTAGAATGAAAAGACATGACAAGGGTTTGGCTTGTCATGGGCATGCGGCTATGGGCAACATGCCCTGGACAAGCATGACTGTGACATCCTCCCCCACCTAATTGGTTGACGTCCCTGTCAACCGACTACTTTCATACCTTGCGATGTGGGTGGCGGCGGAGTTCAGATCTTCGGCGCGTTCCCAGCTTGTTTCCTCTGTAGGGAGATTCTTCCATTTGACAAGGAATTCACGAATCGTCCGTACAGGTCTTCCTATCTTCCTAACCCTGTCGGCTAGGATCTCTTCCACTTCCTTTGTTTCTTTTTGCTTCAGATCGATGTTCGGTCTTGTGGTTGCATTTCGTTGGTCGTCGTCTGGATCAGGGTGATAGGGCTTCAAGTTGCTCACATGAATGACGGGGTGGATTTTCATCCACGCGGGTAGTGCAACTCGGTAGGAGGTAGCCCCGATCTTTTTAAGGACTTCAACCGGGCCTTCATATTTACGAACTAGTCTCTGGTCCTTTCGGCTACGAAATCTGATCTGTTCTGGTCTCAGCTTGATAAGGACTTGATCTCCTGCACGAAAATGAAAGGGGCGACGCTTCTTGTCCGCCCATTTCTTCATATGCTTGGAAGCCTTCTCTAAATATGCCCGGACTATATCTCGTCTGCTTCCATTCTCTTGTAAAGTTGTGAGCTTGAGGGTTTTTTCCTGCATAAGGATGATCAATAATATGGGGTAAGGCCGGTTGTCGTCCACTTACAATTTCGAAGGGACTCTTCCCTGTAGACGAGCTTGTTTGACAATTGAAGCAAAATTGGGCGACATCTAACAATTGTATCCAGTTCTTTTGGCGAGCGTCGACGAAGTGACGTAAGTATTCTTCGAGCAAGCAATTGAACCGTTCTGTCTGTCCATCGGTTTGAGGGTGATAACTCGAGGAGATGTTTAAGGTTGTTCCCAAGAAGGCGAATAACTCAGTCCAGAATGTCCCAATGAATCTGCCATCTCTATCACTGATGATGCTCGATGGAATGCCCCATAGCTTTACAACGTGTTTGAAAAACAGTTGGGCTGTGAGTTCCGCCGAGCATAATTTGGGAGTGGGGATGAATGTCGCATATTTTGAGAATCGGTCTACAATAACCAAGATGGCGTCATATTCCCCGACTTTTGGGAGGTGTGTTATGAAGTCCAGAGATACACTTTCCCAGGGTCTTGTTGGCACAGGTAGAGGTTCCAAGAGTCCAGAGACTTTGGCTTTCTCAACCTTATCCTGTTGGCAGATGAGGCACGTCTTGGTGTATTGCATGATGTCGTCTCGCGTGTTTGGCCAGAAGTACCCCTTCTTTATTAGGGCGTATGTTCTTTGCCACCCAGGGTGTCCGGCCCATAAGGTATCATGACATTCCTGAATGAGTTTCTTCCTCAGTTTCCTCGTTCTTGGGACGTACAATCTGTTTCCTTAGGTTATCAGGAGGTCCCCCTCAACCCAAAACTGCCGTGTCTTTCCAGCCTTAGCTAGTTCGACAACAGCTTTGGCCGATGGGTCTTTGTGTAAATGTTCCTTGATGATGTCGCGCATCGATCCGTCGATCTTACTTGAATGAATATGGGCTAACATGCACAGGGCCGCATGTTCGCTCTTCCGACTCAGCGCGTCGGCTGTTTGATTACTCTTTCCTGCTTTGTGTTCGAACTTGAAGTCGAATTCGGCCAACGACTCCTGCCACCAGGCTTGTTTTGCTGTTAATTTTGGTTGATCGAAGAAGTGGCAAGTGGCGCTGTTATCCGTCTTCACTACGAACTGTGATCCCAAGAGATACTGTCTCCAGACTCGAAGGCAATGGACTACAGCCAGCATTTCTTTCTCGGAGACAGTGTATCTTCATTCGGCATCGTTGAGCTTTCGACTTTCGTAAGCGATGGGGTGACCTTCTTGAATAAGGACCCCACCGAGAACAAAGTCGGAAGCATCGGTTTCTACTTCAAATGGCTTTGTGACGTCTACCAACCCGAGGACAGGACCCCTCGTCATGGTTGTTTTCAGATTTTCAAAGGCCATTTGACAATCATTCGACCACGACCAAGGGTGGTCTTTCTTCAACAGCTCTGTCAATGGGGCGGCTCGTCGTGAAAACCCTTCGACGAACCGCCTATAGTAGTTGGCTAGTCCTAGGAAGGACCGCAACTCAGATACGGAAGTAGGAACCTTCCATTCTTGGATAGCTTTTATCTTGTCGCTATCCATACTAATTTGTCCACATCTGACGACATGTCCAAGGAAGTTGATGCATGTTTGTGCGAATGCACATTTCTCCTTCTTCACATACAGTTGGTTCTGCCGGAGCTTGTCAAACACTAGCTTCAAGTGTACTTTGTGTTCCTTGAGGGTTGTGCTGTAAACAACAATGTCGTCGAGGTATACTATGACGAACTGATCCAGGTATTCGTAGAAAACCTGGTTCATCAACGTGTAGAACGTAGCTGGGGCGTTCGTCAAGCCAAAGGGCATTACTAGGAATTCAAAGGCCCCATATCTTGTTACGCACGTCGTCTTGGGTTCGTCCCCTTCGGCAATACGTACTTGATAATATCCTGATCGTAAGTCCAACTTCGTGAAGTACTTGGCCCCGTGAAGTTGGTCGAACAAGTCGGATATTATCGGCAGAGGATATTTGTTGCGTACCGTCACCTTGTTTAAGGCTCTATAGTCTATGCACAGACGCAACATCCCATTCTTCTTCTTCTGGAACAGTACGGGGGCTCCATAAGGTGCCTTTGCCGGGCGAATGAATCCCGCCTTCAGCAACTCGTCCAGTTGTTTCCTCAATTCGGCTAGCTCGGGCGGAGCCATCCGGTATGCGTTCTTCGCTGGCGGCTTAACCCCGAGGAGGAGTTCGATTTCGTGGTCAATGCCTCGACGAGGTGGTAGTGTTTGTGGTAGACTCTCTGGCATTATGTCGGTATAGCTGTCTAGTACTTCCTTGATTTTCTCTGGGACAGTGTCTTCGGTGGTTGCTTCTTCTATAAGTGGTATGGCCATGAATGTAGGTTCCTCTCGTGCGAGTCCCCTTTTCAGCTGTATGGCCGAGATCATTCGAAGATTACCTGGTTGCTTGATGCTTGCAGGTATTATTGTGGGGTTACGGTCGGTGATCACCAAGCATTTTGCCAATGGCATTGGGACGACCTTGTGTTCTAGGAGGAACTCCATCCCAAGTACCACGTCGAAGTCGTCCATGCGAACCACGACAAGGTCTAGCTCTCCAGTTCAATCCCCTATTTTGAAGGGGACTCCTTTGGAAACTCCCACAATAGGCAAGGCCTCGGAGTTGACAGCTTTCATTTTCCCCGGGTCTTTTCCTATGGTGAGTCCCAATCTTCTGGCTTCTTGATCGGCAATGAAGTTGTGGGTTGCTCCAGAGTCTATCAGAGTGCTCTTGCTCGGTCGAGAGTTTATTGTGGCATCTACGAACATGAGCCCTTTCTCTATTATCTCCTTCGGTTCGACTTTTCGTTGGAGGGTTGACAAGAATTTGAGTGCGCCCATTCGAGGGTTGTCGTGATCTTCCTTCTTGTCTAGCAAAGTCTCGACCCTTGCCTCGTTGCTCTCTTGAATGGACACTTGGAGTGCAGTGAGAGAGGCCCGATGAGGACAGTAGGATACCTTGTGGGGGCCTTTACACAGTATGCATTGCAAAGGCATCGTCGAGTGGTTCTTTTGATGATAAGGCCCTCGAGATGTCCCCGCTTGATTGTTCTGGGGAGGTCTATCCGTCCATCCACTCGGTCTGTTGGGGCTTCCATTTCGATGGCCTGGTGGTCTGTATGGTTTGCCCCCATTGTTTGGGGCTGGTGTCGCTCTTCTTTGAGATCCTGCTTCGTTCCCACAGTCCACGAGTCTCTCGGCGCAGGCCATTGCGGCAGCTAGGGTTTGGACCCTGTTCTCATGTATCTTTGTTTTGGCCCATGGCTGTAGACCATTTATAAAGAAGAACACCTTGTCCTTCTCTGCTGTGCCCCTGATATCCAACATCAGGGTTGAGAACTGTCTGACGTAGTCCCGTATGTTTCCAGTGTGTTTCAGGGCTACTATTTTCTCCATTGCTATATGCCCTGCGTTTTCGGGGAGGAATTGTTCCCTCAACTCTCTCTTGAGGTCCTCCCATGAGTCGATGGTGCACAATCCATCCTCGATGTCTTGCACCTTCGTACGCCACCACAGTTTGGCGTCTTCTATGAGATACATCGCGGCTACAGTCACCTTCTTGTCGTCGGTACAAGCCGTTATGGCTTTGAAGTACTGTTCGACGTCAAAGATGAAGTTCTCCAACTCTTTGGCGTCCCGATTCCCTTTAAAGGCTCTAGGGTCTGGGAACCTTAGTTTATTGGATCCTGCATTAGTTTGTCCAGCCGTGACACCTTCCACGGCTTTCATGGTAACTTCAATTCGAGTGCTCATGGCGGCCATCCTTTCTTGGAGGTCGTCGACTGTTGTTCTGAATTCATCAGCCAATCCATTGAACAAACTCATCATTGTGTTTTGTAGTACGTCGAACTCTTCGCCACGTCCCTCTTTGTGTGCGACAGAGCTATCCGGACTATCAGACGGTTTTGGGCTGCTCGTAGGAGCAACTCTTTCTTCGAGCGAGGTCACTCGAAACATCAGTTCTGCGATTGGCAACCCATCCAGGCGGTTGCCCATTGCGTCGACTTGGACGACTTTCTCACTCAGTTCGGTCACCCGTGTTTCCAGGAAACGGAGGGTGTCAGGGACTTCTTTGAGGAACAACATTTCCTCCTCTATTAGCGTAAGCCGGTCGGCTTGTGCTTTGGGTGTCGACTTTGTCGTCGACATGATCTCGGTCTGTATGACGTTACGGAGCTAACAAAGCTCTGATACCACTTGACACAATCGCACTTTCGAAGGCAGCGGACTAGCGATTGTGCGGCACCCACTTTCCAGCGACAAGGGAGTTAAGCCAATTTGTTCTTGCGTCGCCTACGGCCAAGTGACGTACGGTCGAGCCTCTAGCCTCGGTTTTAAAAGAAGGTTTTAGAAAACGAGGAGAGAGAGAGATTTTAGAAAGAGAGATTTTAGAAAGAGACGTTATATAAGCAAGCAAGAGAAAGATAACAACGGCTTAGCATATATAACCTTGGGTAGGGAGAAGTTGACGACTAGTCATATCCCCCTATAGTACATTCTGGGCCATTTTAGTTCTGGCAGACCTAGACATGATATTTTTGAGGTGTCATACGCTCTAGTATTACAAAAGGAAAAACACTAGAATGAAAAGACATGACAAGGGTTTGGCTTGTCATGGGCATGTGGCTATGGGCAACATGCCCTGGACAAGCATGACCGTGACACCGGGCACTCTCAATTGCGTCAGGGAGTTGCTATGTTAGAAGGATTTTGATGGTCAATTAACATTTTTCTTAAGTTGAAGCTTGCAAAATAGGGAGTTTCATGTTTGATCTTCCAAGAATATGCTTATGTTTTTTGGGCTGGTGTTACAGAATTTGATTAGGCTCTACTGCTGATGAAAATGTGAATATTTTAGACTGTAGAAGAGGGTCATTGAGATCAAAGATTTGAAGTGTCAAATGTTTTGGGATGAACACCAAAATGTGGATGAAGACTTCTCATTGATCTTTCATAAAATGAGGATTTCATACAGTTTTCCTTTTTCCTTAGTGGTGCTCTATTGATTTTGTATGTTCTTATCAGCCATGTCAGAGAAAGCTCTTAAAGCACTTAACACAGTGCCTGGACTGGAAGGGAGCAATGAAAGCCCTTGTAAAGGGGATCTTAGCAAACAAGGTCTAGTGAGTGCTAATGGGAATGTTGAAGAGTTGAAAAGACCTCAAGTAAATGGTGAAAACAGTAATCCTTGTGCTGAGGTTGGTAGTTCAGAAGTAGAATATATCGAAGCTGAGAATTTGACCGATCTAGACGATGTTTCATCGAGCCTTAAGGTATTGATATTACTAGATTTGCCAGCTAACTCCAGTTTAACAGTTGTGGTTGATTGTCATTGATGCTGCACAGTCGGTTTTGTGAATGTTGAACATGGATAACGTCTTTACTTGTTTTAAAATTTCAGACGCTTGTAGCTGGATTAAGCTCAAAAGATTGGGTTTTGGTCTGTGAAGCACTGAACAATACGAGACGGATAGCAATATATCACAGGGAAGACATGCTTGATATGCTGTAAGTCGTCTGTGACTCGATTGATTGGGTTTTCATTGGAGTTACTTTCTTTTATGGCTCATCCTAGGCAATATAATTCTGTGACAGGGGAGATGTGATATCACTTTTGGTGAAATCAATGAAAAATCCTCGAAGTGCTGTCTGCAAAACTGCACTTATGACATCTGCAGACATTTTCAGTGCTTATAATGACAAAATGATTGAATCATTGGACCCCATGGTAACTTTATCTTGCACTGTTTGAGTTTAACTTTTTTGTACAGTTTCCTTTTTCTTCAATGGTGATTTTATTTCTGAGCTGTGTATGCAATGGAGTGCAGCTGTTGCAGCTTCTTCTGAAGTCTTCTCAAGACAAACGTTTTGTGTGTGAAGCGGCTGAGAAAGCTCTGGTAGCAATGACTACATCGTTTTCCCCTGAATTGTTGCTACCAAAATTGGAACCATATCTTAAGCACCGAAATTCGAGAATTCGAGCCAAGGCTTCAATGTGCTTTTGTCGAAGTGTCCCACGACTGGTGAGGATTTTGCATCTTCATTTGAAATTCTTTGATCATTTTATCTTCTCTGTGGCTGTGTACCATCTTATAAGAAAGGAATTTCATGGTAGCATCATATATCTTGTTTTTCCATCAGCCCCCCGGAAAAAGTTCAATCGTTTTTGTATCGGTTCTGCTCACAAGTTTACCAAATATTTGTCGATAGGGTGTTGAAGGGATAAGAGCATTTGGGATTGACAAATTGATTCAAACAGCAGCATCCCAGCTCAGTGACCAGCTTCCCGAGTCGAGGGAAGCTGCTCGAATTCTCCTTCTGGAGTTGCAATCTGTGTACACAAAGTTTCCCGACCTCCCAACAACGATGCCCGAAGACCCAGAGAAGGTCTCTTGGGAAGACTTTTGTCAATCAAAGCTCTCCCCTTTAAGTGCACAAGCTGTTCTTCGTGTCACGAACGTTTCTCGGGAAGGTATTGTCTCGAATTCTTGATGCTTAGTAATGATGATAATATCGAAACTTCAATGTGTGTACCCCCCCTTGTTCTTGAATCTCTAGCCATGTGAGGAGCTTTAGAACGGCTAGCGTATAGTCCATGATAGCTATTATTCTTTCCCTTTCTTTTGGTTTGCCTTGTCATGTAAATTCTTTCAAAACTTTTGAGGTACTCAGAATACGGTTGAAGTGTGTAGCTTTTGCTATTTTTTTGGCCTATACCTTATAGTTACTTCAATATTCTTTCAGATCCACTTGAAACTCGACATTTTTGGTGTGAATATTATCAATACAAAACTTGATATCAGTTCATTGTTTTGATATCAGTTCTATGCCTGTTGAAGTGTTCTATGCCTGATATCAGTTCATTGTTTTGTGCTTGATTGGATTCCATAGCTCCACCTCTCTCCCTCGGGCGGTTCGTAACGAACATAGTGTATTGTATGATGAGAAAATGAACACAAATTTCGAAAATAAAAAACGAAGATCAAATGGATATCAAATGGGATCTGCGTAATGTAATTAGCACTGGTAATCTACAAGGATCTTTACATGGACTTGTGTTAATTATGTTTTCTAACTATTTTGTTAAGATTTTTCTTTGAGTTTAGTTTAAGGGAAGAAGTAAACATTTCATCCATCCATAGAAAAATCAGGTTCATCTGGTTTAAACAACTTTGGCATTTTCAAACTAGAAGCTTTGGATTTTTGGGCTTTTAGATGAACTCCTTTTCTAGTATTGGCAGCAAACTTTGAAGCCAAAAGTGTAGCACCTAGATGCTGAGTTTTGTTCATGTAGTCTGCAGTAGACATGTCCTCATCACTGTCGTCGTCGTTGTCGTCGTAGTTTTCTTCTGCTAGCTCGACGTCGTATTCAATATCTTCTTGTATAGAATCTCCATAGCTTAAGCTGTTTCTGAATACTGATTTCTTTGCCAATTTTCTCTTCTTAAGCCTCCTCCAAGCTACTTGAATTAAGCAAGCACCCCAGGTCCTCCATTGATGGGAATAGTATCTAAACGCATGTTGTAGTTTCTTGCTATGCAGGCGTTTGAATTGTCCAGCGACGAACTTGAGATCCTCAGCTCGAAGGGCGAAGGCTTCAACTTCTGTACGTGCTCGGACGGTTCGAGTAGAAGAAGGCATATTCAAACTGGAACTTGGCATCAAAGCCCATGTCAATAGTTCTTCACCACAAAAATCACCTGGTTTTAATGTGATTGAGTTGAAAAAGCCAGAACGACCGCCATTTGTTGTCGAGCTCTCTAGTTGTCCTCTTATAATAAACAACATTTCGTTAACTGGGTCATCCTCTCGTACGATATACGTTCCTTGGGTACACAAGGACGAGACGAGGCGCTCGCATATGGCATCGAGAAGTTGATCGTCCATTTGTGAGAAGAAAGGAACCTAGAAAATCATAACATTTGAGTTGGACAGATATATAACGACACAAGTAAACGAGCTTGGGATTGAATACACACACGACGAACGAGCGACAAACACAAATGTTGTTGAATCTCACGGCGAAGGTCAATGGGCAATGAACGCAATATAGATTCTTCGTTAACTCCTCTCGTGGCCTGCCATTTATATTGAACGAATCGTCGAACTCGTTCTTGCAAATCTGGTGGTAATTGACGACGTCGCATCCATTCTTCAGTGTCCCTTCTCTTTATCCTCCATTCTTCGAGTCTTACTGTCATTGACTGCAAATATGTCTTCAAAATGTGAAACAGAAACTGAGTTAGATCAAATTATATCTTCAAAACATTCCCCCAAAATTTGCTTTAAAAATATGAAAAATGGTCAAAACCTGCATATTGCCAATGAGTTGTGAAAATAAGATCAACCCAACTATGCACGTTGATATGCAAAATAATGTCTCGCCAAGGTAAGTTGTTGTGTCCAAAGTTTGCCCGTAAGAACTATAAATAAACAATACATTAGCATTCAAAAGGACGATATTTGTAAGACCCACCGGACAACAAGAGAAATATGGCCAAACTTAGAGGTTATAAATCTCGTTAAATCACCATCGACCCCAAATCCAGTAAAGATCCAAACACAGTACTATAGGAGTTCAGTACTATGATACCGTATTAAATCAACCCCGAACTCAAGAAAATAGAGCATAGACCCCAATAACTTAGGCATGTGCAAAGTATTTGTTGCTCCACTGAATCGAAAAGCGTAAACCGATGGGTAACAAAAAATTTAACCTTTTATCAACGCTTCAACAGATTTGAAGACAATTAAGTCACATGTAACGTATTTAGAAGCAAAATCGAGATGGATACCTTAAATTTCTGAGGCCCCACCAAAGACAATAAAAGTACTTAGCAATGAAATGGGAGGAGGCAACATCACTGGTGAAAGCATCAGAGAACATTCCAAACTTGAACCTAATGTTTTCATTCCTTGGATCGCATTTGGAAGTAACATGAGTGACATTCAGCCAATATTGTCTGTCAGTGTCATTCAAACTGTTGCAATCCAAGAAGATGGGAAGACATGTTAGAACTTTGGACGCATTTTCCTTTGCACACTCTGATTTCCAGCATGCGAACTGTCTCCCTATGGACAACAAATACCATGTAGATCCCAACACCTGTAATACAAGTACCAATACACACATTTTACTAACATTTTACACTAACTATTAATCATAGACATCGTACCAATTTGATTATAGCTCAACTGGTTAAAACATATACTCTCGATCATAAGGGTTAAAGGACCATTGCTCATGTAACGACCCCTCTTTGGGCTTTCCCCTTCGAGCTTCCTCTCAAGGTTTTTAAAACGCGTCTGCTAGGGAGAGGTTTCTACACCCTTATAAAGGGTGTTTCGTTCTCCACTCTAACCGATGTGGGAGCTCACAGCTCAATTGGTTAGGACATATACTCTCGGTTGTAAGGTTAAAGGTTGAAATCCTCTCCTTCGTGTGGTTGAACTCAAAATAACCTAAGTTTCCATTTCATCCCTATTGCTAAAACGTAAATATCAATACTTTGCTCGACGATCTACCACATTACACTATCTCAATCAAAATTTCTCGAAAGAGCATGCTAAGACGGACATCCATTGATGACATTGACAATATCAACGACCAAATAGAACAGAAGCATAATCGAGAGCTTAAAGACTAGTAACATAACGAGAGTTTAACCGAGATGACGTAAAGATGAACGTAGAGAGACGAGATATGGTGTTGTTACATGACTGGCAAGCATGTAGAGGATGAGATTGTAGGCAGCACCAGCCCAGGCAGTTTTGGCAACAACGCCAGTGGTTTTGATGATGCGTTGGTTGAGAGGGAAGATGAGGAACAGCCTTGGAACGTATTGGAGAAGAACAAGGAGAGCGATTGTGTTGTTGGCATGATCCACCCTTGAATGTCTTGTTGCTGGAATCACCAACCACATCACTATCTGATACAACATTTCAACTTCAATATATTTGGATTCAAAATCATAATAATAGTAAGGAACTTTGAATGTTGTTCATGGAATTCAAGGATGGTTAATGATTAGAGAGAAATTGATTGGAGCATACTTGTGGGAGGGGGAGAGTGGCGGCGAGATCAATCACAAAATCAGATTTCAAATAGCGCTTTGCAATGGCTCTGGCATCCATAACCAGCTCTCCCCTTCCGAAAACCCTAGAGCTCGGAGCCACATACGCGGTTCGAAATTTGAGCACCATGTGCAGCAAGAAGAACAGATCCATCACCGTTCTGAAGAACGTGATCACTATTCCCAGATTCACCTCCGATGTCAGGCAGGCAGGTCCCCCGACAGACGACGTGTAGAAATACATCGGATCGATGAATAGCGCAATCAGGCATGTCACTAGAAACAAGCGATTCCATTGCGCGACAATGTCGCTGTCAGGGTCGAGGATTTGGTAACGGAGGAGGATGTAATTAGGGTGTTCGTCCGTGGCGGTCGCCACGCCGGTAGTCTTATCGGTGGACGAGCCGTCAAGGTATCGCCGAAAGGGGCGGAACTTGGACGCCGGCGACTGTATGATTCTATTCATCTTCCATGGCGGATTCCGGGGTTTTTTTGAGTTCCCCGGCGAGAAATGTGTGTGTTAGAGAGAGAGAGAAAGCGACAGACAGAGATTGAGGGTTGATGGAGATCGGAAGAAGAAGAAAGAAATGAGAAATTTAGGAGGAAATGGGGATGTAATTGGGTTGGTGCAAGCGAAAATCGTGGAGAGACCAATTGGACGTGTAATAGCCAAGAACATTGATTCTTGGCCATGGCGGTTTTCTCTGAGAATTGGCTAAAATTAGGACGTTTCGATACAGGGTTAGATTGAATTTACTCAAAATTACAACGATTCTTTGCAATTGAATCAAATCCTTATTATAAACTGATTACATTCCAATGTTTATCGTCTTGTACAATTGCAGGAAGGAGGCTCTCTTTCTTCTACAACTCAAGGGGAGGAACAGAGCTTCATACCTCCAATTTGCAGGCTTCCATGGCGGACTGAGAAGGTAAAAATCTAGCAATTTATTGTTGAGTAGCTTCAATGGCTTTACCATTATTCTCCAAATCGATCTTCTTCTCCAGAAACTGCCTCTTACAGTCATAGAAATAAACCATAAGAACAATCCACATTAGAATATCCCCCACACACTTGAAACTCACAGACACCACATTCCCCAATGCCCCACAACTCCCCTGATTCCACAAAGCATAGAGACATGGCAGCCCAAGAGCCACCTTCAAAGCAAAGAAAGCCAGCATCAAACTTAGCCCTAACTTCCTGCTGCCTCTGCTTAGATATGCAGCCACTCCAATTGCTATGTAGCCATGGTTCTTATCCAAGATTGAGATAACAATTCCCATGTTCCAAATAGCACTCCACTCTATGAATTTTGTCAACAGAAACACAAAGATTGTCCCAAAGATAAATGAGCTTTTTGGCATCAAAAACATGTTTGTTGACAAAGCGATTAAACCCAATAGAGTTAGTGAAGCAAATAAAAGAGCATACAGAGATGTTGCCAATGAGCCTCTCAGTCTTAGAGCCACTAGCTTTCTGACTTCAACTAGCATCTGTTTGAAACCCATTGGGGAGTTTCCTCCATATATTGCTGCTGATATAGATACTGTTGAGATTGTGGAGAGAAGGTCTAGGAAGAAGATGAGTGCTGAAGAGATGAGAGTTGATATCAGAAACTTGTGGGAGAGAGTTGCTTTGAAGTTGTTGTCATCAGAGGAGCGCTGCGAGATGCAGGCTGTGCTGCCATCTAATCGACACCTGATGATGTACCTTGGAGATGGATCAAATGGATTTTCTTCTGAGAGAAGTTTGAGGAGTTGAATGAAGGTTGGGTGAAGGAGAATGTGGTGGGCGAGGAGGGAGGCGAAGAGGGGGAAGGAGGAGATGAGGACGAGGGAGATGAACTTTGGATGATTAAAGAGGATTTTGAAGGCTTCTCTGAATGAAGCAGAGAAGCCCAGTTTGGATTTCGCCAGAATTTGGTGGTTTTCCATTTTGAATCTTGAATTCTCTCAAGTGTTCATCGTTGAAAGAACATAGCCCCCAATGGTCTTCATCTTCTTGCCATTTCCCGATGTGTTGGTGACTGGTGTGAAGCCTACATGTGCAAGCTCACATGCCAAAGTCAACTATATTGATTTCTTTTGGGTCCTCAAAATCTCATTTGATTTACTTTAGGTCCTGAAAATTTGACAGAAATCTCATAGATTGATTCGATTCAATTTCCTAAAATGTTTCTAAACAAACTTGTCATAATTGAAAATCTATGATCATAAGGTCTTGTAATATCCCACGTCTGTTGTAGAGGGGAACGAAACATTTTTTATAAGGGCATGTAAACCTCTCTCTAGTAGACGTATTTTGGTATCAGAGCTAGTTGTGTATATAATACGGATAGAAACGTATAATTTAGATATTTATAGCACCAAATACATAATTTCAATTGGATTTACTGTTGAACAGCCTCAATGGATTTCCCATTATTCTCCAAATCAATCTTCTTCTCCAGAAGCTCCCTTTTGCAGTCATAAAAGTAAACCATTAGAACAACCCACATCACAACATTCCCCACACCATTCAAGCTCACAAACATCACATTCTCCCAAACCCCACAACTTCTCTCATTCCACAAGGCATATAGACATGGAAACCCAAAAACCACCTTCAAAACAAAGAAAACCATCATCAAACTGAACCCAAGCTTTCTGCTACCTCTGCTAAGATATGATGCCACTCCTATGGCTATATACCCCTGGTTCTTATCCAAGATTGAGATAACAATCCCCATATTCCAAACAGCACTCCACTCTACATACTTCCCCAACAAAACCACAAAAGGTGTCCCAAAGATGAATGTGAAGATGAAAAGTTGTAAGAGGAAGGTGTTTGTTATTGACATGTGAGAGCTGCCTGTAGCCATAAGAAAGAAGTCTTTTGACAAAGCAACCAAGCCCAACAGAGTGAGTGAAGCCAACAAAACAGAGCATAGAGATGTAGCCAATGACCCTCTGAGTTTCAAAGCCACCATCTTCCTGACTTGAACTAGCATCTCTTTAAAACCCATTTGAGAGTTTCCTCCATACAATGCTGCTGATATGGAGACTATTGCAATTGTGTTGAGAAGGTCAAGGAAGAAGATGAGTGCTGAAGAGACAAGAATTGATATCAAAAACCCATGGGAGAGAGTAGAGGAGAGCTGCGAGAAGCAGGCTGTGCCGTCGAGTATTGGACACACGATGATGGACGTTAGAGAAAGATCATAAGGATTTTTATGAGAGAGAAACCTGAGAAGTTGAATGAAGGTTGGGTGAAGAAGAATGTTGTGGGCTGAGAGGGAGGCCAAGAGGGGGAGAGAGAGGAAGATGATGAGAGAGATGAAGTTTGGATGATTAAAGAGGATTTTGAAGGCTTCTCTGAATGAAGCAGAGAAGCCCAGTTTGGGTTTTGACAGAATCTGGTGGTTTTCCATTTCTTGGATCTTCAATTTTTTCTTCTGCAAGTGTTCATCTTCTCATGATTTTAAGAAGCACACAAGTCCTTCAACTCTGCCATTGATGGTCTTCTTTCTTGTTATTGCCTTCTTGCCAAGTCAATATTGGTGTTCTAATCTCTCCCTCTCTCATCTTTGAATGTTCACGGTTGTGGATGAGAGGAAATCTCCTGCAAGTTTCATATTGTTGGGTCCCACCTACCCATGTGCCAATTTTTCCAAAGTTTATTTAAAAATTATCAAGTGTTGAATTATGTTTCTAATTTTTTTAATTTTGTATTTATTACCCACTTTCGTCGGTTCAATAGGTGAATGAAGCATTTTTTATAAAGGTATGAAAATCTCTCCCTAGCAGATGCATCTTAAGACTGGCTGATAACGATACGTAACGGAAAAAAACAGGCAATATTTGCTAGCAGTGGGCTTGGGTTGTTATAAATGGTATCATAGACCGGGTGGTGTGCTAGCGAGTACGTTGGGCTCCTAAGGGAGGTGGATTGTGAGATCTCACATCGATTGAAGAGGGAATGAAACATTCTCTATAAGAGTGTGGAAATCTCTCTTTCTAGTAAACACGTTTTAAAGAGACTGACGTTGATAGATAATGAGTCAAAACGGCTGCTAGCAATGGATTTAGGTTATTACACTCTTAAACTTAAAATATGTCTAATATGTTTTTAAACGTTTAATTTTGTATCAAACAAGTTTTTGAATTTTTAATTTTGTAATCTTTCAGCTAAATATTAAATAGAAAGTTTAGGTATTTATTATATATTTTATTTAATATCAAATTGATCAGTAAATTCTTATAAAATTTAAATATGAAGGGCATTTCCATAATTATGTTCAATTTATAATACTTTTAGGGACAAGACCTCTATAAGAGCTATTTGAAGTTGATTCAGGAATTTGAAAGGCTTGGGGGTAAAATAGTAAAATGGAAAGCCCAACAAGAGCCCACATTAACAACTTTTAAATTTTATGGGCCAGCCCAATACTACAACTCTTGGCCCAACCCAACGATCTTTCGTCTACAAGTCGGACCTATTGCCATTTACACCCTCATCTTGAAATATGACCATTTTTTTTGGGGGGCCAAATATGGATTCCATTTCACCTTAAATTGATATGGGTTTTGCTTGAACAAAATTATAGCTATGAGAAGACTAAGTTGGGGATGATGATCTCGATCTCTCGAGTTGGTTGGCTGTGAGAGGGTCAAGATCCAAGGAACCTAGGTGAGGAAACGATGGCCAGTGTCCAAAGTTTAGTGGGTCCATTGGTGAGGGGTGCGACGGTAGCCCTACAACTCGGTGACGACAATCCCCTATGCGATGGATGGTTCGCAGTGTAGCTTCACCAATCCTCTCTTTTAACATCTTGAACCTATTGAGTCATGCTAATATTAGCGCTATTGAATATCTTCCTTCTTTGTAAAGAACATTTAATGCTATTTGTTTTCAAGAAAAAGTGTGAATGAGTGGATGATGTTATGCCACAAAATTCAACTTTGTTGTGATGATTGTGCCCAGAATTTAGTTTGTGAATATGAGTTATTACAATTTATTTATGAGCTCGTAGTTGATATCAACTATTTATCATATATACCCGATTTCCTCCCGTAGTCAGAAATTAATGTACTTTTGTTCTTCTCAAACTTGCTACAATTAACGAACGTCCAACTTCAACATAGTTTTTTTTTTAATATTACATAAAAAAAACATTAATATTTTAAGCGATTTGTTATTTATTTATAAATTTTATATGGTAAAATCAATAGTCAAAATGTGGGTTCCACTTTCACCTAAATTGACATGGGTTGTGCTTGAACAAATTAAGGTTCATGAGAAGACCAAAAAAATAAATAAAATATAATAAACTTTTATTTTAAATTAAAACAGCCATTATTGCAGATAGCTCAAAGTCAACCCACAATAATACATTATATTACCTCAGCAAGAAGAAAATAAATATAAAAAAAATGGGCACCTCATTCATTCTAGATCTAAATTTCAATTCCATTTCCAATTCCAACAGATTTGATTCGAATGTAGAAAGGGTTTGGGCACATGTTTTTGCAGATTGCTTTGATTATGCCAGATTTTTAGGTCAATTAAAGAGTTATATGATGTCCAAACGGGTTTGAGATTTGGGTAATTATGGCTCGATACACATGCACATGTGATACATTTTGAAGCTTTATATGATAAAAGATGTCAATCGTGAGACAACATCAACTACTAAGACCTGAATTGGTCCAAATTACCATGAAACTGTGTTGAAGATTACATCTTTAACCATGCGACGTCATGTTCTTGTCATGCTCATAGACAAGTTTTAAGGAAAACTCAAGTGGCTTTGTTGGACTTTAGGCGAGATTTGTCTTTGTCAACCGAATACAACTTGTGCAGATTCCAAATTCGTTTGGCCACACACGCTACCCTGTGTATATATCAAATTTGCTTATACATTAGACTAAGTCATTCGATTCGACCTTGCCTCTACTAAGGATCAAAATCTCCAAATACAACGTTAGATGGACAAAATGGTTATTTCACCATCTCCCTTTGGCATCTTCTAGTTTTCTTATCTCTATCCTTCTTTTTTTAACACAAATGTCACTTCCAATCTCTTTCTTTCATTCTGAGCTTATCTTTCTTACTTTTCCATCTTATTATAAAATAAAACATTAGGTATGCTTTATGGAACAAAGAGTTTTCTAATACAATAATTCGTTTTCTTTAATCGAAAAACTTTTAAATGAGTTGAAAATTGATTAAAAGATTCGAGAACCGTATCCGAAATTATTTTATAGAATCAAAGAAATTGGTTTACTAGTAAGAGCAGCATCACCGGGTATGTGCATATTTTTGTGAGTGGATAGCGATGTTTTAGATAAGCGTATATAAACTTTTTGATTCTTTTAAATTTTGAGTCTTTTTGTTTACTTCGCGGGTATCTTAAATTTAAAGCTATTTTATTACTGGTCGCTACTGAGACCCTTGACGATGGTAACGTGTTTGATGTGAATTTGAATTATTCACATTTTTTCTCATTTTGTTCAAATGGCACAGACGGTGTAAAAAACACTTTTTAACATTAATTTTCAAAATATATATTGAAATTGAGTTAGAAATTTTAATTAAATTAAATATTTAAAAATAAATAAAAATTTAAATTTAAATAAATGACTCAAACACACGTCACTTTCCAGTTGGATTGAGTTTATTATTTAACAATAGTTGTTCCAGTTGAAAAATTTAGGACCCGAACAAATGTCCAAACCCAACTCAACCAACACTTCTAATATGTTATTTAATATTTTTATTTACTAAGCTTGTATAAATAAGTCTAAGCATCTGATTCAAAACACAGGAGATAAATATAAGTAGATGATATTCAAAATGGCTCGTCCTACCATATTGCCCTAAGCATCTAATTCTTATTCTCATTTCTTTTTCTATGTTATAAAAATTGGTTCTTTTTGGATTTGAGATAGAGCTTGAATAATTAATCTCCAAATCTACGTACTAAAAAAACTATTTAAAATATTATTTTATACGGGTCACAATTTTTAATGTTAATTAATAATTTAATAATTTCATATTATTTATGGCTAAAACACGAGTTTAATTCGATTTATTAAGATATATTTTTTTCATAAAAAGATTAGAAACTCGAATTCTCAAAAAAAAAAAAAAAAAAAAAAAAAAAAAAAAAAAAAAAAAAAAAAAAAAAAAA